CCCATTTGTTCCAGGTGCAACACGACTGCCTTCTTTTTTCAATCTTTCCTTTTATACTGATTAAGCCCAACACAAGCATATTCCCTCTGTGTCCATATAACACATCTTTTCAAATGTCCTCTTTGATAGACATTTTAAATAAAAAATTGCTCAGCTCTATTTTTCAAAGAACTGGCATTTCCCTAGACCTCTAGTCGGTCTTTGTGACATCATGAGGATGTGAAAGACACTATGTAAATACAAGTTCCACTTTGTCGTGTCATTACAGCCTGTTTTGAGTGAGGTAGTCAGTAACTTGGTGTTAAACAATAGACTTTTTGTTCTAAGTACACAGTCAGGACTGCTGCAACCACATCTACATTAACTCAGCTGGCACCTTGAAGCTGTGAGGGAATTTACTTTGGTCCTGATGTCAGACTAAGGATCCAGTCATGTCTGCTGTGGAGGGAGAAGCAGAAGATCCTCTGCTGTTCGATAAAAGCTGAGACAACAGTTCCTGCTTAACTGACGTCACTAATGATTGGGTTAATTTGCCTTTCATCTTGTAGGTAGATATGGGAGTTCACACTATGTAAATATTGCTCACTGCTTGTTCCCACATGACAGTGACTGCACTTCAATGCCTGATTTGCTGAAGGTAAAGCATTGTCGGATATCTTGAGATTCAGAACCATATGTCTTGGCACTCTCTTGAAATATAAAAAAAAATTTAATCTTCGTCACAGAATGATGAATGTGAACTCCAAAAAGCTGTTTAAAATTGGGAGGTCCTGTCAATGGAGACTGAGTTTAACCTACAGTCCCCATAAACTAGTGGACTCAATAATGCTAATGTTAAAAATTGGTGTTGTTCAAAGCAGATGCTGCTGGTTTTGGCAGTTTGCCAAACACTCTGACATTTGTTTTAGTTAATCTTTGTATGTTCTTTTCAAACAAATTCCAAACTAATTACCAATTGGAGCAGAGTTTGCTCAAATACGAGATTGAAGTACAATGTGTTTTTATATGGTGATGTTGAAAGTGCCTTGATTGCTCTCAATTTAATCCGCAACTCTCGCCCATTCATGTCAAGCTTCACGTTTTGGAGGGGGGAAAAATGTCCTTCTTACCTGTTGGATGCTTGCCATCCCATTTTCTTTCTCCTCACTGCTACCTTGGATCTATAGCACAGCAACAGAACATTTAGCCCAGCTGGACTATAACGGTGCTTACGCTCCACGGGAATCTCATCCCACTCATTTTGCTATCTTTCCTAGCTGCTGCCGCCACCACCCTCTCCCTGTAGCTACCAGAATATTCTTCTATTCATTTCTCCTTCGCACTTGTTAAACTGTGGGGAGGCGATGGCCTAGTGGTATTATCGCTGGACTGTTAATCCAGAGACCCAGATAATGTTCTGGGGACCCGAGTTCGAATCCCGCCATGGCAGATGGTGGAATTTGAATTCAATAAAATATCTGGAATTAAGGATCTAATGATGACCATGAATCCACTGTTGATGGCTGGGAAAAACCTGTCTGGTTCACTGATGTCCTTTAGGGAAATGTGGTTGACTCTCAACCTCTGGGCAATTAGGCAATAAATGTTGCCTAGCCAGCGACTCCCTCATCCGATTAATAAATAAAGAAAAGAAAAGCTCCTTCCAAAATGCATCCGTTATTTGCCTCAGCTGCATGTGGTAGTGTCTGTCTCTTTTGTTTTATTTTCAAAAATATAGTTCATTCATAAAAGTATAAATATACGCACATGTGCACACAGGCACATTCTGAACAGTAGCAAATGAAGAAAACAAACCAGACATTGGAGTCGGACTCTATCCAATAAACGAACCAGAAGCATATCTTTCTTGTGTAAGATTATATTTACGTCTATTTGAGGCGCCAGGGTGTTCTGATAACGGAATGGATCCCTATTTAACTTCGACAGAAAGACCTCGGACAGCTTGCAGCTGCTCTGAGCATAGTATCTGTCTCTAGTGAAAAACTTTCTCCTGACTTCCTGAATTTGGATTTGTAGGTGACAGGATTTGTATTGGTGGCCCTTAGTGAATCATTCGCTCTATAAGTGGAAGTGATTTCTCTCCTTCTACCTCTTTAACTCTTCCATAATTTTATAGACCTCCATTTGGTACTGAAACAAAGCCAGAAATTGTTGGAGAAACTCAGGATCACTGGCCCCAAATGTTAACCCTGATTTCTCTCTACTGATGCTGCCAGACTTGCTGAGATTTTTCAGAAATTTGTTTTTTTTTATTTCTAGCATCCACAGTTCTTTTGGAGAAACTCCGCAACGTTTCAAGTCCAGTGACCCTTTTTCAGAACTGGAACTGAAATATTATTACTGTTTGTCTCTCCACAGATACTTCCAGACCTGTTGGGTCTCTCCAGCAATTTCTGGTTTTGTTTGACTTCCAGCATCCACAGTTCTTTGTTTCATTCACCCATTTGGTTTCTCTTTGGTCTTCTGTTTTCTAGAAAAGAACCAAAATGTACTTCACTGGCTCATCTTATCTCAAAAATAATGAAATACAAAAGTAAGAAGGTTTTGTTAAAATTATGTGAAACACTAGTCGGACAACAACTGGAATACAATGAACAGTTTTAGGCTCTTTTTTATTTCAGGAAAGATACACAGGCATTGGGAGCAGTCCAGAGAAGATTCACTAGGTTGATTCCAGAAATGAAGGCACTGTCTTATTGGTGACTGAAGTACTTTTTACAAGCGAATGTTTCTATCGCTATGGCAGAATATTGACTACATTGCCTGGATTCACAGATGGATATTTGCAATGTTGGCAAATTAGCTCACAGTGAGGTGGTAGCATGTTGTAGCTAAGCCTCTGACTGTTCCTCAGTATCTTTTTTTTTAAAGAGCAGGGGAACAGTGATACAGAGTTCAAGCCTGCTTTTTTTTTAAAGCACAGATCCTCTTTCTTCCAAATCCCAGGGATGCTAATTGCAAATGCTGGAATTAAGATGAGTTTGCTCCGAAGATACCTGGTATCTAACCTGATCTCTAACACTGTTCTGTCCTCGGAGAGAGAAATTTCCACTGCAGAATCTTGAAGGTGTAATCTAGGGCAATGTCCAATGTGGTGTTGATGGAATCATACACTGTCATAGGTTCCATCTTTCAGATGAAAATTAGTGCTGAGGTCCATGTCTTCCCTCAACACTGTCATTGTAAGCTTGCTGTGTGAAATTGGCTGTCACATTTCCTCCTGTTAACATTTAATGACTGCTCAGTTCTACACTGACAGAACTACTACAAAAGACGTGCAGATCCCAATTTCCAACATTTGTCCCATACCCTTGAATGTTATGGTATTTAAAATGCTCATGCAAATTTTTTTTTAAACGTCATAAGGTTTCAGGTCTCCACTGCCTTCCCAGGCAGTGCATTCCAGATTCCTGCCACCTGCTGAGTGAAAAAGCTTTTTCCCAAATCCCCTCTGAAGCTCCTGCCCCTTACCGTAAAACTATGCCCTCTTGTGATTGATTGACTCCTCAAGCAAGGGGAACAGCTGCTGTCTATTCACCGTACCCCTCATAATCTTATACACCTCAATCAAGTTCCCCCCCTCAGTCTTCACTGCTCTGAAGAAAACAATCCAAGCCTACCTAGTCACTCCTTATAGCTCAATTTCTCCATCCCAGGCAATATCCTGGTGAACCTCCTCTGTACCCACTATAGTGTTATGATGTCCTTCCTGTAGTGAGGTGACCAGAACTGCACACAGTACTCCAGCTGTGGCATAACCACTGCTCTGTACAACTCCAGTATTACCTCCTTGCTCTCATACTCTATCCTGCAACTGATGAAAGCAAGTGTCCCTTATGTTGTCTTAACCATCATATTCACATGCTCTGCTGACTTTGGGGATCTGTGAATAATTACCCCAAGATCCCTCTTCCTTTGCACTACCAAGTGTCCTACTATTCATTAAATACCTCCTCATCTTGTTGCTTTTTTTCAAAGTGCATCACCTCACACTTCTTATTGTTAAATACTGTCCACAACTCCTCTGCCCATCTGACCAATCCAGCTGTATCTTCCTGTAACCTGCAACCATCTTCACTATGAACGGCCCTACCAATCTAAGCGTTGTCTTCAAACTTGCTTAACATTCCCCTAACATTTTTATCTATTTTCATCCTTTATGTATATAACAAACAGTAAGAATCCCACTACTGATTGTTATGGTACACTGCTGGACACTGGTCTCCAGTCACTCAAACAGCTTTCTACCTCTACCCTTTGTGTCCTATTACTAAACCAGATTCTGATCTATCTCTGTCTCACCAAGTTTCTCTGAATTCTGTGCGCTTTAACCTTCTCAGTCTTCCATTTGTGATCTTCTCAAAAGAGCACTTTATAGAGTATTTGTGGAAGAGTCTTTTCTCCCATGGGAGAGTCTAGGGCTGGAGGGCATCATCTCCGAATAAGTGGTGGCACATTTAAAATGGATATGAGGTAGAGCTTCTTCTGAGCATAATGATTCTGTGCAATTATTTTTTTACCACTGAGGCCTGTTGAAGTTAGTTCGTGGAGTATATTTAAGGCTGAGACAGATTTTTAAAATCAGTAATGCAATTGAGGATTGTGGGGAAAGGCAAGAAAGTGAAGTTGAGGATGAATACATCAGTCATGATCTTATTAATGGTGGAGCGAATTTGATGGGTTGAATGGCCACCTTCTGCTACGTTTTATGGTCTTATGGCCCCAAAACGTTGTGGATGTCTTGGTGTTGAAAGAGCTAAATAAATTCAAGTTTGTTATGTCTGCTGGCACTTGTATTACAGCACAGTACTCCGCCAGCCCTGCTCACCAGGGCACTTCCTGGCGACATTTTTTAAATGACTCGTGAAATACAATATCCTTTGAATCTCACTGTGGTCTTGCCAACAGGCCCTGTTTCTAATCCACAATTACAGTTGTCTTTGGATGATCATTCTCTTCTGATTGATCTGTCATGACTTTTTTTTGTTTGCTGTTTTCAGACTCAATATGAACGAGGAGCAGTTTGTTAATATTGACCTAAACGATGACGATATCTGCAGTGTCTGTAAACTTGAGACTGCAAAGGAGCTGCTTTCTTTTTGCCATGTCTGCTTTGAGCTCAGCATCGAAGGTAAGCGTGATTTCGGCGGGGTTAGAGAAGGGAAACTTAGATTTAATAGGACCCATTTGTAAGTATAGATGTTGAGTTAGCAGGTTAGACTGTCTGTTTCTGTTACCCATTCTGCTCTCTACATGATCGTTAAAGTGAGAGCCAGGAATGATATTCAGGTCAATTGCTATCTAACAAAATTCAGAGTTTAAGAACAGGAGGGGCCTATTCAACACTGAGACTCTGTTTTTTTTTTCCCATTTAATTGGATTGCAGCTGAACATAAACAAGTGTCTCATGAGTTCCTGTTGGATTTGTTAGTGAAGTAATGTTTATATTTATTGTTGAGTGTCTGATCTTGCCCAGAATACCCATCTTCAATGTTTAACATGCAAGTCTTTGATTAAAGTGGCCATACTTAATCATGCAAGGTCATTGTGACACAGATATAGATAGCAGCCTCAACAGTGGTTGGCTGAGTCTCTCAGTGCCAGCTCTGAATGGTCCTGTGGCCTTCAATTCCGAGTGATCGGGGATAAGAGAGTAGCCAAATTATTATTAAAAATAAATAAAATGACGGAAGCACATGATATTCATGTTGCTGTCACGCAACATCACTCTTGTGCAATGCATTACTGGACAAACGTGTTGGGAGTTAGCATTGGCAATGATGTAGTTGTAGAGAAGTGAGAGAGGCTGGTGACTTTTTCTGCAGGCATCAGAATTCAAACTCATTACTGCCTACAGTAATCAAGCTGATACAAATGTTTAAACCAAACCTCTGTGTTTTGAGACCAAATTCTGATACTTAACTATAAGCTTTTGGATCAATATAAAATCTTCCCATTAAATGCTGCAAAGTGATACTTGGTTTATAAGTGCCTGTCTCTGCAAGTTTCATGAAGACCATTACCTAGACCCAAGTTGACATTTAAACATCACTTGCCAGGGTCTTTTCCCACAGACAACGTGAGTGAAGATATCTCATGAACTGTTCAGAATAAAAGATTTAGGTATTAGTCCATCAGATATAAAATGAAAACAAAAGTGCTGGAACTGTGAAGACAAAACATGGAAAAAAGAGCTGCAGAAAGAAACCAAGACATTAGAAAGCATAATGGACAAATGCCAATGAAATGCAATGAGAATCAAGGATGCATGAGAAAGCAGAATTTGTTTTTATTTAATTCACTCTGGGTATGTGGGCATTGCTGGCTGATCAGCATTTATTGCCAGTCTCTAGCTGCCCTTGATCAAATGGCTTGCTAGGCCATTTCAGAAGGTAGTTGAGGGTCACTCACCTTTTGTTGTGGGTCTGCAGTCACATGTAGGCCAGTGCAGGTGAGGACAGCGGATTTCCTTCCCTGAAGAACATTAGAGAACTAGGTGGATTTTCCCGACAATCAGCCATGGTTTCGTAGTCATCACTGGACTCTTTAATTCCGGATTTTTTAAAAATTGAATTCAAATTCCACTATGGCAAGATTTCAACCAGGTGCCCAGAACATAATTAGTCTAGCAATCATACCACTAGGCATCACCTCTCCATTGGAGAAGCAGAAAATGCAGTGGAAAGGTCAATGCTGCATCAATGAATACTTATAAAACCGGAAACTGCATGTACCACAATCACTTTGCGAGACTCAGCTCCCTCAATTCAACAGAAGTTCATGCTGATTGTGTTTACAAAGCTTAACCGTCTGGAAAACACAGGCTGACGTAGTTATAAAAAAAATCCAGGAATTAAAAACATCCAAGTTCTACTTTTCCAATGACCTCATACAATTCAAGCAAGGTTTGTTTTTTTTTCTTCAAATTTGCATTCCCTCCCTGTATGACGGGTGACAATTCATACAGAAGCTCCATTTCACAGTGCCTGAAGCATAGGCCACACTTTATCTCTGTCCTCCAAAGAGCAGAAGGCTCTCCTACCATGGGAATCGCTTAGAAGTAGGCAGAGAGTACTGCAACCCAGTGGTTAATTTACTGAACTATGAATCCAGATTCAATGCAAATTCTAATCCCACTACCAATAATAATATCTTTCTGGGTACATTTTAACTTAAATGAATCTGGGCATGTTGGTGGCAAAATCTGTACATAAATATCTTTTCCCAAATGTGGGGCAACCGGAAATCGGTATAAAGAGATGCAGTGTCTGACTTTTCTGGTTTTTGCAATGCCCCCTATTGCTCTTTAAAATATCCTTGCTGCCTGAACAGTGCCATTACCATAGGCATCATTGGACCAAGCAACATGTATGATGATTACCTTTTATATAGTGGTGTCTCTTCCACAGTCAAGAACCAGTACAACATGAAGACAATAGAGTGGTGGTACTTGTCACACCAGCTGACTTGTATGTTTTACAAGGTTATTTCATGGAATGTGGGTGTCCCTGCCATTTATTGCCCATCGCTGATTTGGCCTTGAACTGAGCGACTTGATGATCTGGGTCAAAGGTTGGTTCAAGTTTAACCACTTTACTGTGGATCTTAAGTCACGTCTAGGACAGACTGGGTGAGGTTGGCGTATTTCCTCCCAGAAAGGGCATTAGTAAACCAGTTAGATTTTTTTTGTTACAATTGGCACTGATACCAGTTTTCAAATCCAGAATTGTTAACGGAATTTTACATTCCGCTAGCTACTGTGGATCCTGCGTTTCAGACCATTTTAGCTTGGTTGTCAGGATTACTAATCCAGCAATTTTAATACAATGTCACTATCTACCTTGAAATATTTCATTAATACATTACGTTCTGAGTTACAACTGGGTCCTTCTCTCAAACCGACCGAGGTGAGAAACAACCTCCTTTCAGGAAATGGTGATGAGTCGTACGTTGTAAACCAAGAGTTAGTCAAATCAGTTTGAGTCTGATGTTAATTATCTTTCAACTGGTCTTCAGCATGCTACATTACCTCGTTGGTATTCTGTGTACATGACCCATTGCGACCAGTCGTGCATGCTTAACATTGGCTGTTGGCTGACCCGGGTCTCTTTGTTCCAGCAAGCAATTGTTTCCAAATGACTGTTGTGCATGCATTTGCATCGAGATTTCTTAACAATGGACTGTGCAATATTTATGAGTTCTCTGCAGTGGGTAATATTTTGCTAATTTTTGTTCTTCTCTGGCAGTAAGCCAAAATATGGACATTTTGAAAATTATTCCCATTCAGTCTCAGTAAATAAATCTTTACTCTTGCTGTCCTTTTTTTTGTGAATTTTTTTTCCCCTTTTCTTTCAATCTGTTATTAATATCAAAAATAACATGCCAAGTTTCGGAAAGAAGTTGAACAATCCCTCCTTATCCTTCTCCATCTACTATCAGCCATTCACCCCAAATTCTTCTCCCCTTGTTTCCAGCTCGGTGAAACTGACCTTATCTGGCTCCATTCTTATTTATGCTGTGAGGTGGTCCAAAGCTCAGAGATTTACATTAGCTTCTGGTTAAATAATACCTTCTTGTTTCGGGAAAAAAAAAAATCTCTCACCCTTTTCATATCCTTACACCGTTGCACCTCTGTAATTTCCTTCAGCTGCAAAACTCTGCAAGGTCTTTTATTCCAGACATTTAAGCATCAGTGATTTTAATTGTTCACTATCATTGGCTGTGCTGTCAGCTGTCAAGGTTCTGAGCTCTATGGTTTCCTCCCTAAATCACTCGGGGTGTCTATCTGACTTTCGTCATCTTAATACACTCTTATAAACCTCTTTAACCAAGCTTGCAGCCACCTGCTGTAATAATGTCTTGAGTGTCTAAGCTTTAAATTTTGATTGGGAACACTCTGTATAGTGTCTTTGGGGTTTTTTTTCATGTTAATGCAGTTAGATCCTTTGTTTGCTCCACTGAAATCAGGGCTATTTTCCCACAGTTCAACTTTTTTTAAAGAAAATATTTTGTGCATCTCCTAACGAATGCAGTCATTTTTCAACCTTGCAACACAAGATATCGTGGAGGCAATGGCTTAATGATATTATTACTGGAGCTATTAATCTAGAGGCAGAGGTAATGTTCTAAGACCCAGGTTCAAATCCTACCATGGCAGATGGTGGAATCTTGAATCTGATGACCATGAAACTATTGTCAATTGTCAGGAAAAACCCAGCTGGTTTTCTAATGTCTTTTAGGGAAGGAAACTGCTCTCCATACCTGATTTTGCTGACAAGTGACTAGAGATCCACAGCAATGTGTTTGACTCTTAACTGCTGTCTGGGCAACTAAGGATGGGCAATAAATGCTGCCTAGACAGTGATGCCAACTCCCTGTAAATTAATTAAAACTAAATTTGGATTCAGTTTGGCAGACAGAAGGCTGAACTCGGTGAAACTTGCAAAGTGTAAGTCTCTTGTGTTTACCAGAGCAATGCCAGGTGGGTTTAAAGAGTACTGGCAGCAGTGGGATGATTCCATATCATGCGGTTAGCTTTATCCTTCTCATGTAATATCAGCTTTAGAATGAACAGAAGAAAAGATTTCACTTAATGACTAAGCTAACTATGACAGCTTGACTAGTTGGGTCTTTCTCTGTTGTGATTCTGTCCACTCTCCCTCTTGGCTCTTTGGAAGATCTACCCTGCTCCCAACCCTGCTTTCTTCCCGTATGCCTCTAACTCTTTCCTTCCCAGAAACATGGGATTTAGGAGCAGCTGTAGGCCATTTGGCCCATTGAGCTCGCTCTGCCAATTAATAGCATCTTGGATGATCTGGTTCTGGTCTCAACCCTGCTTTCCAGTCTGCCCCACTCCTGTCATAACCCTTAACACATTTCAATATCAAAAATCTATCCAACTCTGCTTTGGATAAATTCAATGACCTAACCTCCATTGTTTTTTGGGAAGAGAATTCCACAGACTAGCCACACTAAGGAAAAAAAACCCTCTCTAATTTCTATCTTAAAAGGGAAGCCTCTTAATCTTAACCTATGACTCTCAATGGATAAAGGCCCAGCCTGTCCAACCTTTCCATTACAAGAATGAGTTGGATGAACCTTCTCTGAACTGCTTGTAATGTAATACCTACT